CAAATAAAATTGACCAGCTAAATTGGTGCTTTCAACATCAAAACTGGACAATTGAGAATTGGCAAAATGTTCTTTATTCGGATGAGACCAGATAACCATCGAAATCGGGTTCTCAGAGCTCCAGGAAGACGAGCAAGACTCTAGACTGGTAAACCTGTACCAAGATATAAAGGAGGAACTGTAATGTTCTGGGGAAGCATTATGCTGGGAGCAAAAACTCCATTGTTAGCAATTCAAGAAACTTTAACGGGTCGGAGATATGTTGATTTAATGCTAGAACCAATCGTTAGGCTTTGGAGAGCTGCAATTGGGGATAATTTTAACTTCATGCACGATATTGCACCTCCCCATACCAGCAGAGTGGTTAGAGAATGTCTTGAAATGATAGATTTGGACTAGCCTGCATTTTCACCAGATCTAAACCCTATCGAACATTTAAAGCCCAGCTTAAAAGAAGGGTTGGAGCTCGTCGAAACAATCTAGGAAATCTCGCACAGCTTATCGATGCAGCATTAGCAGAATGGGAAAACATACCCCAAGACAACGTTGATAATTTAATAAGAAGTATGCCATCGCGAATAAAAGCCTGGATAAGGGTTATGGGAGGTTATAGGTAACACGGATTATTAAAATTATCATTTTTTTTTATTTTTGACTTTTGATCATTAAAAATTTAAATCTCATTTCGTTTCAGAAACCAAAAAAATACCATTGTGTTTATTTTGGGAATTGATTAATTAATTTTATTGGATTATTTTTCATTATATTATTTGGTAAAAGGACTTTTATTCATAAACACATACATCTTAAAAATTATGAAAAATAATAGATCATTCCATATAACTTTGGCTGTGTTTATAAAGTGAAAAAAGAAACACCTAGTTTAAATATACAAATGAAAGAATATGATGATTTTGATAATGAATTGTTTAAAAGCTTCCTAAACTTGTATTTTAAATAAATAAAACCTAATTAACTAGATAATTTTTCTACGAAACGACGAGCATATTTAATTGTTCCGAATTTAGCCGGATTTAGTACTTACGATCTCGATAAATCGCCAAGTTATCGATTTCTTCAATTAGGTCTAGAGGATTTAGACTGAATCGGATAAACTCGAGAGAATGGGACCGTAGGAAGAGACAATAAAAAACTAGACGTTTTAACGGCGTAAATGATCGATATTTCGAAGCTTTTTACAGGGAAATCTCCAGGAAAAGCTTTAAGACGTTGTCTTCACGGGATACCTCTCCACAATACCCTCGATGTTTTCAGGTTTACAAGTACTAAGTCCTTCTCCCAATCCTTCAACTCATCCTACTTTTTCTGCCGATGTGCATATCGAATTTGCCTGGCTTTTACACATGGAGTAACTCTGTTACGTCTTTATAAGACACTAGTAAAACATCAATAGAAGCTTTTAGGGGGAGATTCGATCGATTCGATATCTTGAGGACGTTGTGATATTGCGAGATTACCCCCCAACATTATTAGGATTACATATTTCAATTTGGCTCAAGTTTTGTTTACTTGAAATCAGTTTTGTAAGAAATATTTGTTTATTTAGTACTTGGAAGCCTTTCCAAATAGTAAGTCACGAAAGTTTTCCTGGGAAATGCATAATTTTCAGTTTTTTCAACTTTAGAATAGCTGAAACAAGTTACATGAAAACACGTTTCTGTTTTTTATTCTAGAAATTCTTCTAAATATAGACAGGCAAAAAAACTTCTTGCGGAAGTGTGCCATTTTTATTTGTTGATAAAATATTGTAAAATATAGCAAGATTTAAAAAGTACTCGGCAATTAGAATTCGTAAACAGATGTGTTTTAGCTTACAGCGTGTTTTGATTGCTTTGGCTAGGTTTGTTTTGGTTTTGTCTGGTTTGTTGGTTCATTTTTGTTTATTTTAGTTTTTTCTGGGTACGATATTGATGTCTAAATTACAGTATCTACTAGGTTAAGTTCATGCCTACACAAGGAAAGTGTTTAGAATGTAAAGATGGAACACGTTTTCATGTAACTGATTTCAGTTATTCTAAAGTCGGAAAAAAGAGAATGATGCATTTCCGCAGAGAAATTTTTATGATTTTGTGTTTGGGCTTCTATGTATTGAATGTTTTGTTGTTTTTTTTTATAAGTGATTTGAAGTAAAAAAAAACTTCACCCTTAAATTTAGTTATTACTTATTTGGAGTATACGGTGAAAGCTTTGAATAAAAAACGGTGAAAATATTTTAACTAATGCTAAAACTTCTAATGCACGCTCGGCCTGGAACACCCTATATAAATATGGATATTGATTCCAACATTTTTTTAGGTTCTAAAAATATTTAATAAATCTTAAATAAAAACATATTACAATCACTACTAATTGCAACTTTATGTTCTATAGTTTGTAATCTTTATTAACTCGTTTTATATTTGAAGCTTTACCATTTTTGATCATTCAAAACTCATGAGCGTTATTATTTTTTACGGAGCCTTTTAACCTAAATGTTTAATGTGATCGTAATCGGCAATAGAATGACAACAAAAGCGATATCGAGGACCATTTGACAATTAACCTGATTCGCATTTGACAGGGAGATTTCAATAATAGATTTAGTCGTATTTGTCGATAATATTACTGACAGTAAAACGTTTCATAGTTATAGGCTTTATCTTTCCATAATTCTATTTTAACGATAAAAATTAAACTCGGTCAATAAAGTGAGTAGGGACGTTTGCAGATATCAATAATCGATATAAGAATTTTAGAAATCTTGTTAAAATCCGATGTTTTTTTAGCTTTTTCCAAAAAAAATAGTATTAATTGATATGGCAAATTTCTACTCTGCCATTATCTCTTTTTTTCTCTTCAAAATGAAGTTTTTCTAATTTAAATACCAATTGTTTTTGTTTTCAATTTTTTTTATTCTCAATGCTATTCATTACAACAAACTATTAGAACAATAGTATATCATTTGATTTTTTTGAAAAAAATAGTAGTGTTTTTACTGAATCTGTGGTTGTTTCTTTGTGAAACATCGTTGCGTGAAACAATAGTATTCTCATAAAACCCGCTTTTAGATGTTTCAAATTTAACGAGAGTAATTTTATCTCTATACAGAGTGAGCCTTAAATAAGTGCAAATATTTTCGGGGCTGTTAGATCTCGATAAAAGAAACATATTTTCTCTTTACGGTTTTTCAAATAAATCTAAAATAATTGAGTTATTTTACTTTGAAAATTTCCAAAAATATGATATTTTATTAAATTTTGAGCACCACTGAATCTTTTCTGGATTTTATTTCTTGTAAATTTAATCTATTACCTATGTTGCCATATTATGAAGAAATTATGTTTTTTTTTAAACTAAAAATTTTTTCAAAAAATTCCCAATTTTCAAAAAAAATTTTCTGTTTCTGGGGTCGAAATATACTATCCCTAAAAATATTTGCACTTATTTCAGACTCACCCATTTGCATTGGGAGTGGGTTTAAAGAGTTTACAACAGGCGCAATAAAAAATCTGTTTAAAAATTCTTATTGGATGTTTACAATATTATAGTTTCGTACTGCTTGACAGAATACAGAACTGGTTACAGAAAACTTGAGCCTTTTTTAAGTTAAATCATTTTAAGCACTTAAGGCATTTGATTTAAAGTCATTTTTTGAAAGCTGATTTAAGGCTTAAAATTTAAGTAATTTTCAAAATAATTTGTGGGAAAAAGGAAATCGCCAATCGGTAATACAAGAAAATTTATATTAGCATTAGAAAATAGGTACTTAAATTGAATTTTGGTTATCTTGACTTGATGGTAATTATTTTGATTCAAGTAATTTTTCCGACTTTATTCGCAGATCAACATGATTTAAACCAAAAGTCATAAAAACGACTTAAATTACATTATATTGATTGAGTCTTTACAAAAATGACTTCATTTGAAAGAAAATGATTTAAGTCAAAGACTTAATATTTAAATAATTTAATCTTTATGTTGAAATTGACTTAAGATTTCAATCATTTTGAAACTGACTTGTTGCAGCTTTGAGGCATCTATATCGATATTTCTTTTATACCATAGACATCTCTAATTCCATTTATTGGACGAAAAACAAATACGGTCAATAAAGTTAAGTGGTTTTCTTCGAAGCTTAAAAAAGTCAAACGCGTCATTTCTCAGAGATATAAATTAATAACTAAACTTTTTTCGTGATGTCAGCCACTTATAATAGATAAAGAAAAGGAATTAGTTAGTTTTGCTACACGCAACTTTGCCATTAAAACTTTTTCTTGATACGTTTTGACTTCTTAGTAAATTTTCATGTAGATATCCTGTTTTGCAAGAAACTATGTATACCTTTATGATTTTTTTGACTGAATATTTGAGAGCAACTTTACTTATTATAGCTGCTTATTGGACTTTTATATTTTTTAATAAAATGGTTTAGTGAAAAACTCTATAAAGCAAAACGAATCTTAAATTCCATTAAACATTAAAAAGCTGCACAACATTTTTATACAAAAGCTCAGTATACAATTTCAAAGATATCAGGAATGCATAATGTGTTGCATGCGTTTAAAGCTGCAACAAAGTGAAGTGTTTTGTTACTCTGTACCATTTTTGTGCTGCAAAGTAATCTGATTATACGGGCTACTGAAAACTGAGTGTAGCTGGTTTAAATTTTCGTTTGTATTTTCACATTTAGCATTTTGTTAAAATGTATGCAGATGCAGAATTACTTCTGAAATAAATTTAACTATGCGAATTTTGTTGTGAATATGTTATTATTGTATCTGTTAATACACATAGAGATAGCCAAAAGAGCACAATGAGTATATTATTCTCTTTATTTTTGAGTTATAAATTGAATTTCGAGAAGTAATTATTACTTACTATTTATTTCAAAAAACATTCTACAACTTCTAAGCCGGCTTATACCATTTGATAAAATAATATAAATAAAAACTACGGACTTATTGCCAATATTGTTAAAATATATATTTTTTTTGTTTTAGGTGAATTTTGTTTATAGACATTTTCGTGTTCAAAAATATATAATGACGTTCTGATGTAGTACCAGAGACAAATTGATATCACCATGTGAAATATCGTGATCAAAAGCAAAATGTGAGCTGCCCAACCACGTGATTGCTGTTTCTGTCGTTCTTCAGGGATCTCGTTTTATCAGGTAAGTTTTTTGTTTATAATTTTTTAAATGACTGACAAATGAAATATTCCTTCAAAATAAAATTATGTACAGGGTGTCCCATTTTAGATGAAATCATACGGTATCTCCGTTATTAGTGAAGATAGAAGGGTGCGGTTTGCACAAACCTGTCTCACTTTTTTGTCAAACGGAAGATGCCGTAAACAAAATTTTCATAGCCCTCTTCGTTTCCGAGCTAGAGGGTCTTTTTGAAAGTTTTGCAGTTTGGGACACCCCCTGTATCTCTGTTATTGTTAAAGCTATCGAGAAGGTGAAAACTGTTTATTCTAGAACTTTTTACATAGAATACAGTGGCGTAGTCTGGTTTTCTAAAAAAAAATATTTTTGAAAATATGAACTAAAGTTATGTTTTTTTAAATGGAACACCCTGTATATTTATAAATCATATGATCTGTCTTGCCATAAGTTTCTCAAAAATATATATCACTCTATATTTATTTTCACTATTTACTGCAATATTTAAAAGTTTTTTTTAAAAGATCATATTTATTAGTAGGCCATGATTGATAATAAAAGAAACTAAAAAATTATTAAAAGTATACTGCTATCTGTCTCTTGTTTTATTTTGGGAGCCGCTAATAAATTCTTTATATATTAAGGAAACTTAACTCCCTACCGCTATTTGTAAATCTAGGAATACGTGTATACGTACGAATAATCTACCGTATCGGAAATTTTAGATACTCCTTTAGCTAATTTACGTGAAATATACTTTCAGCAAGATGGGGAACATTCCCCCTCATAACTATGAAAATAGTAGAATACTGTTAAATTATTATTTTTCAAATCAATGAATTGGAACTAATGAACACATATTGATGGCCTCTTCGATTCACGGATTTCGCCGTTCTCGATTTCTGATTTTGGGGATTTTTGAAATACGAAATATATCGTGGGCACTACAACCTACAACAATGTCGAACACCTGAAAAATGCTTTAATAATTCAAGCTTTTAGATATTTGCAAACCCATTCCGTTATAAAAAAAAGAAAAATATATTCACAGGTTCAGTGGTAACAGTTATTTCAAAAGTAAAATATATCAATCCCAAATAAATTTTAATATGTGTATGACTACTTTAGTAAATATTATTTTGATTTTTTGTTATTTATCACGGCCTACTAATAAGAAAATGATATATTTTAAATATTGCAGTAAATAGTGAAAATAAATATAGAGTGATATATATTTTTGAGAAGACAGATCATATGATTTATAAATATACAGGGTGTTCCATTTGAAAAAACATAACTTTAGTTCATATTTTCAAAAATATTTTTTTGATAGTAAAACAGACTATGCCACTGTATTCCACGTAAAAAGTTCTACAATAAGCAGTTTTCGCCTTCTCGATACCTTTAACAATAACAGAGATACAGGGGGTGTCCCAAACTACAAAATTTTCGAAATGACCCTGTAGCTTAGAAACTAAGAGGGCTATGAAAATTTTGTTTGCAGCATCTTCCGTTTGACGAAAAAGTGGGACAGGTTTGTGCAAACCGCACCCTTCTATCTTCACTAATAACGGAGATACCCTATGATTTCAACCAAAATGGGACACCCTGTACTTATCCTTAAATTTTTCACTGAGTTTGTTTATGTAAATTTTAAAAATTACAAAAAACTGTTAGTGTCTTCGTCAAAAGCGAATATCTCCAACAAAAATAAAGCTATTGAGATGAACCAAAAAGAAACTATCGTACCTGGATGATAAAATTATTTTAAAATTCCTTACTGACTTAACATATTCCACAGGGTGTTTCAAATTTTCACCAAAATATGGGGACTTTCATGTCTAATTTAGAAAGAGATACTAAAAAGTAAAAAAAATAGCTACACATTGCTTAAAAACTTATATTAATCGGCCCACTAGAACAAAATACAGGGTGGTCCGAACTGTAGGCATTCCAGAAACTTCGACAGCATATTCTGCAGATAAAAATAAGTAAAAAAGTTTGTATAAATGTATATCCTAAAATGCTTAGTTTCGGCGATACAGGGTGGAGAAGTTTCATTTTTATTGCGATTTTTTCAAATCATTTCTGAAGTAACTTCAATATTTGGATAAAGATTGGAGTTTGGGAGTTTTTTGACGTCAGAAATTTGATTTTGATGTCAATATGACTTTTATCTGTAGGGGGCGCCATCTACATGCGTTTTAACTGTTTTGAAGAGTAATAACTTTTCGTCCATACCTGTATAAAAAACTACTGAGTAAAAAATATACATTTCCGTGACTTTTTACGTAAAACATGTCTCTTGGTAAAAATTGCTACGAGCAATCATTCTCAAGATATTTATATTGGAAATAGTCAATACATGTCATTATTGACAAAAAAATAAATACTTTGAGAGTAGATAGTTATTTGCCTGAAATAAAATAAATTTGTAAAATTTTTATTTTTTCAAATTAATCATAAACTTTTCTGCCAAAAAATGACGATAAAACAGTTTTAGTTGAACTTTTGACACAAAAATATTTCAAATTTATATCAACATGTTTAATTTATGTCAATGATGACAGGGTATTGATAATTTCGAATCCAAATATCTCGAGAACTATTACTCGTAGCGATTTTTACCAAGATACCTTTTTTACGTAATAAACATCGCAAATATATATTTTTTTACTCCGTAGCTTTATACAGGTACGGACGAAAAGTTATTACTCTTCAAACCAGTTAAAAAATATGTAGGTGGCCCCTTCTAAAAATAGGAGTAATATTGGTATCAAAATCAAATTTCTCATGTCAAAAAACTCCCAGGCACCAATTTTCATCCAAATATTGACGTTACTTCGTAAATTATTTGGAAAAAATCGAAATAAAAATAAAAATTCAACACCCTGTATCTCCGAAACTAAAAATTTTAGGACATACATTTATAAGAACTTTTTTACTTATTTTTATCTGCAGAATATGCTGCTGAAGTTTCCGGAATACAGTTCGGACCACCCTGTATATTAAACTTCAAAATACATCAAAATTTTAAGGTTTCCGTTTTTCGTGCCGGTGAGTGTAGATTTATTTATTTATTTATCCCAAACACACAAATCGTGTAATTACATGAGATATACAGATAATATAACATTACAATTCAACAAAAAATATATAGAAATGACAAAAAGAAATATAAACATACCATTCAGTACCTATAACTAATATTAAAGAACAAACAATAAAAAATGTATTTTCAGATATCTAAATAATATTGCCTTTGGAGTTCAAAACTTCAGGGAGGTTTCAAAACACAATAAAAATAATGGTTTATTGTTTTGACATTGTAAATAATTAACTAATATTATATTTGTCAAAAACGAAGAAAAAATTTAAGGCGATTTGAAAATTTACAAATATTATCGGATATATCAAGATCGTATATTTAGATAGGCCCTTTGTAAAAATTTCTTCTTTTGTATAAAATGCCGGAGTTTATAAAAATTGATCTATTCTTTTTATAAAAAGCCGTATTGTTCGATACACCTGCGACATAGATATTTTGAAACTCTAGTAGTTTGTTAATGTGACGATAATTAATTCTCGAATATTGAAATTTTACTGTTAATTACGTTGAAATCATCGTTTGGCCGAGATGTCTCTCTCAAATTACAACCTTTAATTTTCGAACCCGTCCAAGCAAGAAACTTTAATCAAGATCCAAACGCTAAGTGCGACAGCGTTGCACTTTGAAATTTATATATCCCCCCGAATAGCTAAAGTGTTTGTATAGGTGACGGTTTAATTTTTAATTAAACTCGGGTTAAATTAGTTAGGAAATGAAGCGGAAGGAGCCGAGCTAATGGCGAAACAAGCCGAGGTTAGTTCTAAACTGGAAAACTTCGCCGAGAGCGTTTTCAGGAAAAACAGGACTTCGGGGTCATTAAGAATTTATTTCGAATGTTTAAGTTTTATAGGGAAACTTGGCAAATTGATTTAAAAACTATTTTAATTTAGTTTTTGTAATTTAATTATATTTTTTTATTGGAAAATGTTTGGTTTGGTGAAATGCGAAGGTGAATATATACTATGAAAATATTTTAACTTCTACAGGGTGGCTCAAAAAAGTGTGAATGGATCGGGATGATTTTTTTAAATGGAACACCCTGTGTATTACTTGTAATGTTCATTTTTTAACTCTCCATCTAATAAAAAAGTAATATACAGGGTGTTCTATTTAAAAAAAAACAAAGAAAATTTATTTTATATTTTAGAACGTTTGGCGTAGAATTTTGTATATCCTGTATGATTTACGATTACCATATTTATAACAAAGTTAAGTACATACTATCTAAATTAAATACCTAACACAGTTTTGATTTCAGGACAGTTCTTGTATTTTTAATCATTTTTTTAAGAAAGGCTCAAAAATATATTTTTTTATATATTTATTAATATCTCTGAAATTGTGGAAATATATTTACTCATATCTTAGGATTAAGTAAAGTGATCTGAAAGTAAGCCAAAAATGCAATAATATACAGGGTGTTCCATATAAAGAAATCATACCGATCTACTAAACACTTTTTTGAGCCACCCTATAGAAGTTAAAATATTTTCCTGAAATATACTACTTGTTCATACTTTAGGTTGGCACTTAAACAAAACTCTCTAGTTTTGTATTCTAGGAGCTACAGATGCCCGACACACTATTTTCGGATCCTGTAGATATAGATAAGTATCAATAGTTTTCACATATCTATATGTATCTATATATATATATAATATATATATATATATATATATATATATATATATATATATATATATATATATATATATATATATATATATATATATATATATATATATAATAGAACCAGAATTTTGAATTGGGGTAACGGCCTAGTCGTAAGGGCAAAATTTAATGAAAACTCATTTATTACTACTGCCAAGCTTTCGAAAAATCTTTATTTTCTTCTTCAAGACTACAATATGGAGATAATTATTAACTTTATATTAAT